TAGTAAGGTCATGCGATCTATGTTGATTTGGGTTAATGGCGTTGTGACTCATGTGTGGACACCGCAAGCATCTGGGCATGCATGCAGCGATAATTACGCACCACACAGTCAGGTAAGGAAGCATTCAGTTAGAGTCCCCCTCGGCGAAGACACGCGATATCAACGTAATATGTAAGGCACGCGGATAAATTCCACTGAGTACGATGTCGGTCAAGTTCCATGACCACACGGCACGCCTGGGATCGGTGTATCCTTGCGTCCTGTGACAGGGTAAAGTTGGGTATGTACCGTATTTTGGTGTCCAATTGCACCACTTAACAGGTTAATTAACCCAATATTTGCACTGTAACTGCGATTCTGGTATACTCCTCATTTTGACAGTTCTAGCTCTTATTTGATTTCAGTGGATAAACACAATACTGGTCTAAGTACGTACATCTTAACCCCCAAGCACATACATGTGTCGTTGCTCTTTGCTATCATTCTCTTTATTTTGTATTTAATGATAGTTTCTGTACTGTTATGTATGGCCATGACTCTGTAGTTGAATGCCATACTGCGCTATTGACAATTGTGCGTTTATATATCACCTGTACACGGGTTTTATCTTTTCTATTGTCTTTGGTTTTATGACATACATTGACAAATATGTTGTATTTATATTTATTACCGTTGTATAGATACACGTATCAATCATTTACAACTTACCTAATACTACCCATACAATGCATTCATTGTTTGTGTTGACAATATATAACAATGAATTATGTTAATTTGGTGAATGTATAAAAAATATGTATGCATATGATATTGGAAAATAGAATGATTGTGACCTTGTCAACGTTTTGATTTCAAAATTCAAATGTCCTGTTTTTTCACCGGTATAAACAGTTAAAGTAGGAGTAACACAATAAACGTTGCATCTCTTCCTGCTTTCGCCTATATCAAATTACCTACGTTCGAATTAGCCAAATAATGCAGTACGCCAAATGAAAATAAAAAATGGATTTCATGATCATTATTGTAGTGGGTTCTGTTGAGACACTCCCTTGGTCATGTTTATTGTCTGCATAATTTATTGGATAGACATGCAAGTATTCAATCATTAACGACGACAAACGTTATAAAACATGTATCGGTATTTGATAAAAATTATTTTCCATGAAAACCGCAAATTTGTTCATGAGTAATTTAACAGATTTATCATAATTTACATTGAAACATTAAACAAATAATTTATTCATTGTTTCTTTAAAAAAATAAGGGAAAATAAATTGTTCGGCAGTAGTCTATAGTTGACTGCGCATTAAAGCATAATACGATATCCAGTGTCGCGTAAAACTAAAAATTCAGAAGCGTCAGGATGTTCCTGGTATTAGTTCCTCTTTTGACATTCCGATCATTCCGAAACGTAAATTGCCAAAATTTGCAACACTTTTAATGTAAGTTATTTGTAGCTGTCGCATGAACAGATATTGTGTCTGGTCGTGTAAAGTTGAATTCTTTTTCATTCTAATACATTGCTTGTTTCCCATTGATTTGCAGACAACGAAACAAGTTTATCGAGAATGATCGAAGCTGATACAGTATATGGAACCAATTCATGAACGTACTTTTATGAAACATGCCTAGGTGTAAAGTGCCATACTCTGTGTGGTTGTTGATCGACTTCATTTGGTTTCTGGCTGCAGCTATATTGATATTTTCGGATGTCGTTTTCGACGTTTTGACTTGTATTAGGTATTTCCGGGAAGGCTGGTACGTGGCATTTGCTGTCAGCATATTGTTATTATTCCTACCATCAACACTAATTGGAATCGCGGATTACTATAATATTAACATCATTGTCACCGATAGGAGTGATAAAGACGACTTAAAGAGAAAAGGTAAGAAAAGAATTCGTAAAGAAGATGTTTCCTGTGAACACAACATCCGTTTGTCGGCCGAGACTCTAACAGCGCGACAAGTACGACCGGAAAATGAACAGCAGGAAATATTGTTTATGAATTCGTCGCTTTTGACTCAAAATTGCAGTGGATCGCCGAATTCTTTGGTCCAGAACTCGACTTTTGAACATGACGTCGACCGTGACCTGGAAAAGTTTGCTAATATTAACCAATCAGAGGCGCCCTTGGCCCACAGTGAAGGTGAGACGACCAGCTTGATAATGTTAGAAAATCGGGACGAAAATAATTATTCCCAATCTCGGGCCGATGTTTCTGTACAGACAGAAGAAGTTGACGGAAAAGGCGAGTGTAGGGGTCCAACATACCTATATTACAGATCAACGGCACTGCCACAGCATTTAAGTAACAATTTTTTGACGACAGCACCAGTAGTCCCACGTCATGATGGTAGGGAAAATAACACAGAGAATCCACCTACAGAACAGGCCGAGGGAACTCACCCGGAAGACACTTCTGATGGTAGATGCGAAAGCTTTATATGCAGTAGGCGTTTGCATTTGTTATTAAACATATGGGGATTGCAGCTAGCAGTGTTCGGACGTCGGTTTCTACTCGCCGTCCGATTCGGCCAACGATGGTTTCGCTATATTCGTTTTAACTCGGAACAGAGACGATTTCACCGTGAAAACGAAAGAAAAGTAGTTCGCGGGAAAGTCGCCTATGATTTAGCGGAGAACGAAGTGCAGCAACACTACCTGGATTTGATCAACGAAGACGAGGCTTTATTGCCCTTATGGATAATTGAAAGTTTGACGGAATCGCTGCCACAATTATTGATAAATCTCTATCTGATTGTTAAATACCGTCGACAGTTGTTATTACAGTACATCAGTGCTAGCCTGTCATTCCTCACATTAACTTGGGGTGTAACCAGTCCAGAAAAGTACTACAGAGATACACAGGTTATCCGCGAAGGGCGGGATTACAAAACCCGGGTTGGGTTTATGCAACTGCTCTTTATTTTCGTTTACAAGGCGTTACTGTTAGCGTCACGATCGCTGGCTTTTGTGTTTTTCACGATTGTGTTCCACTACTGGGTTATCGTAGTTTTAGCGATCCATTTTGCATTTGTGTTTTTCAGATCAATATTTCATAAATATTATTTAAAGATCTTGAACGAAGTGCATTTCCACAGAATAGTGATTCACAGTATTTTTTGCACTTTTCTGTATTTCCATATTAGCAACAAGAAACGCATTCGTTTTGTTATGTTGCAGTTTTACGTTGTTTTTATCGTGGAGAATCTCACTATGATTTTGTTGTGGTACTTCTATAAGGAAAAAGACCAATATTTCGACGAATTTATCCTGTTTTTTACAATAAGTTCTACCTGTTTAGGAGTTGTGATTATGTTATTTTATTACACTTGCGTCCATAAATCGAAACGATTTATTGTAAATTCGTATTCATGTTTAAAAATGTGTTGTCTACTTACTCGTCGCAGGCAAACGAAGGAATGGATTGTTTGCAAGAATCTGCCCACTTGTATTAACTGTTATGTCAAAAGAGGTGCCGTGGCATTACTGCCAGTAAAACGGGATCATATCTATGTCGACCATAGGGTTAGACCAATCGACGGACAAAGATTCTACTTCGGAACGGACACAGTGTTCTGCGCATGTCCGGATAATGTGCACGATGCGGCGGTGATTGAGGGCGACGAAGATGTCAGCGACGAATCCAAATCGTGGGTGAAATGTTATGATGCCGGGCGTATTAGGTACATAAAAAAATCGAATTGTTTTTATGATTTCATCGATAATACCGGCAGAGAAATACACGTTGCTGTAGACAATTTTAAATGGTATCGACCACATAAACTGACTCGCCAGGCGGAACATATTTGAATTAGCCAAGTCACGCGGCCTGCACGAACTGCTAACAAAATGGCAGCTTCGTCGTTTGATCATTACATCTTTGGTGGAGTGCAAAAATAAGGGAAAATAGAATGTATAATGTTAAGAATTAAAATAAACGTGTTTAGCGGGATATGAAATGCTGACATTTACGAATGTAATTGGTTATTTTGTTATCATCATTTTATTAGATTATATTATGTGAACACGAGAGATGTAACAAAATTGACTGCCAAAGAGTGTAGATACGACCCGAAGTGTAAACATGTATGATGCATTTCTACTTGGGAATTCTGGGTAATTATAGTTTTCTTTCGTAATTTGATTAGATATCTCGGATACATACATAATCGGCGTTATCTGGTGGGTATAATATGCTTGTGTTGCATACCTCGAGACCCCTAAAGCATTCCAGGCAGCTACACTTCAAAAATGGATATCCTTTTGTAGTACTATAGTTCTTTTTGCTATTGTTTATATCTGACTCATTTGTGCATCCAATTAAAAACTTCCATGGTTTTAAACAACGAAATTGTTTTAGCAATATTTTAGAATTACATGTAGTTATATTTCAACCTCTTTCCAGACACTGACCTTCAAAAAATTACCGTATTTCAGACTCTGGCTCAAAAAAAGAGACCCAATCGAGCTGTGAATGTGTGTAGATCTGCATGTTCTGATCGAAGTAACCCAAGGTGCCGATTATGTGACTGATCACGTGGCAATACATTGTGGGAGACAAACTCCTATCAGTAATGTGATAGAAATACAGTATTTTGATGAACACTCAATAAAATGTTTGAAAACGCGTTACCGTATTATTAGACTCACATCGATAAACAATCTGATTAAAATCTGATGTACTGTACGGCGTGTATTTTATATATTTATTTTACTTTTACTATTTTTTAAAAATTATTTATGTTTTTGTTACGTACTTATGATTTGGTATATTTTTAACTATCGCCTTGTTTTGGCATTCGCAATTACCAAAACTTTAAAAAAACTATCAACAAATAAATACTACATCCAAATAAAATTAGAATGAAAAACAAAACAAAACTGGGATCTTATTTTAATCAGATTGATCGATAACACGCGTCTTTTCAGTGGCGACACCGAAAATCATTTGCTAGATAAAATGGACATCTTCCATCACAAACATCAATTCAAAAATGTATTTAAAATAAGGCCGAACATCTCGGGCTGTGGCGCAATTGTTCTATTAGAAGCGCGTGGAGCACTTTTTTCCCCGACCATGTGTCCCTCCGTCATACACTACTCAGAGCAAATGCGATAGTTACCTGCTTGTTTAGACCTATTTTCTCAACTACGATAAACTCACTTTTGTCACCGCTTGTTACAATGCCATTACTAGTATTATACATCTTCAGAGAATGCTAATTATCTGACTTGGGGCAGCATAGTTGTAAACCACACTAATGTGAGTAGAATCGTGGGTATTGATGCAAGACAGAGGTTTAGAAGGTGCACAATTACCGACTGATACCTTGACATTGGAGAAACTACTTAGTACTAGCACAGTCCCTCTATCGATAGAGGGACTGTGGTATTAGTAATCTCCCTATGACACTACCATTGAAAATTGGATTCCCCATTAATATTTCAATACTTCCATCACAACAAATACGTTCCCGGAACCTGTCGTTGCATTTGAATTGACAAATTGTTCATTTGCATTCATGACGTTGCAATGAGGTTGCAATGTATGTTTAAAGTGTAACAGAACAAAATTCAAACTAAACGACTGCCTAGTGAAAGGCGGGACTACTAGTATTTGTTCCTATAACCGGATGTTAACCTGACGCACCGGGATCTCGTGACTGAATATTATTTGTCCGACAGTCCCTCGAGGTACCAGTATGGAAGAGGTGTGAAAAACACAAAGGCGGATGCAAAGTGCGGAGCGCACTTTTAGAAAGGAACCGAGTACGGACGAGAGAACAATAGAGCGCGGACCCACAAACCATGGAGGGCGGACCATGGTAACTCTGCTTTTGCCATTTACACTCCCACAAAATTTTATTTTATTGAGAAAAACAACAACAAATGAACCAGGGACTGTATGCAAGTCTATATAATGTCGGACACGGTTGTATTACTATTAGGGTATTTGAAAATGTGTGATAGCACGAAAAAGTACATACGTGTAGGCTCAACAATGTAAGTTTATTCTCACAAAAGCAGTATGAGCTTTACAAAAATAGGATGCTCAAACTTTGTTTGAATATATGAGCAGGATAATGGCATGGTGGGTTGAAGACAGTTTTATGTTATGCAAATGTACCGACAAACGACAACTTGTTCACAATGGTAAAATACAGCTATTATGTACTAGTAACTAGTTCATTATGAGCCAGTACCACACAGAAACAGTCAACGAAGGTGTTCGTGCAAAAAGATGTTCAAGAGAGTGGGCGGGGATACACGCAGGAAAAGCAAGAGGGCGGATGTACCATAATGGCCAGTGGATGGGTAAAACCTCACCGGAGTGGCAGTGGAGAAGGATTCGACAAATGGAAAGGGGGGTTCATTTCCAATAACCGTTTGTTATGATAGATAGATAGAATTTTTTATTTGGAACGTACCAAAGAAATCATGAGTAAAGTTCAAAAATAACAAAACAAAACAAAACATTCAGAACAACAAAAACTTACAGTACTAAAACATATCAAGAATATAGAAAATAAATTTTGCAAAAATGCTAAGAATGAAAAAATCATTACTTGAAACAATAATAGAAAATAATTCATCCATGCTAAAATCTTCCAGCTTTGGGGCATAGATGTATATAGCTGCAAGGAATCTAGATCTTTGTTCTTTGATTTGACAATTATTACAATATAAAATGTAACGTTTCTCATCCTCTACTTCATTGCATTCATGGAGATTACATAGCCTGTTTTCCTTCAAAATGCCTTTATGTCTGTGATGAATTTGTTTTTGCGTATCTGTTGATCGACTTAATTATCTGATTACTAACGAATGGCTGTGTTATGTCTGTCATCGTTTATGCCTATGCGAGGTCCTGCACGGAAAATGGCTCAGTGATTTGGAACTTATTACGAGATAACCGTCGCTATTTGGACTACTATTTCTGACAGTTAGTATTTGCAGTTATTAATATAGTGAACGATTAATCAAAAGATATGACGTATTCAGTGTTAGTGTGATTGGCTTTATGATTGAAGGTTACGCCCTCGAGTCTTTTTGCTGCTTTGTAATTGGTTAAGGTTTTGAAAATGAATAAAGTTGTTTTAGTTGGACTTGGCGAGAACACCAGGACAGACGCAGTCCTGGAGAGTCTTGGGGCGAGTCTTGACGCAGTCTAGAGGCAGTCTTGGGTCAGCCTTGCGATAGTCTTGGGGACTTTTCCCCCGGGCGCTGTGTCTTATAGAGTGCTCGACTGACTGACTAAAGACGAGAGCTGAAACGTATTTTGTTGTGTGCGTTTATTTGACTGTAGAGCTTAAGTGACTTCCCCGATCCCGTACCTCAAGGGGACGCGATAGAGAGACGAGACGAGATTCCCCCTGACACGTGTGGAGAACCCTAGAGGAGAAGATTTCCCCCCCTGATATGTCTACCGGATTCAATGGGAAGAAAATGTGCAGAAGTTATGTATTTTTACGAGTTGTATTGGAACAGATGAAAAGAGCAACGTATATTTAGCTTAGTATCCGGCAAAGTATTCAAATTTGGGGGTTGTGTCTCATTTGGGGGATACTTTTTCCTGATTGTGTCCCATGCAGTGCATTTCAGTAAAAAATTATATTCATCATCAATTTCTTGCAGGCACACATGACAAATACGGCCTTCCCTATGAATATTATTATGTCTGCCTCTTTCTATTTGTAAGGGATGGCACGCACATCTTAATCTTGCTATTGCTCTGCGCAATTTTAATTGTGGCAATGACACATAGTTTTCAATCCCAAAATTTGTTTTGTTTGCCTATAATACTGCGTTTCTCCAGAACAAACGTCTATATACCAATCTGCAATTTCAATATATTTGACCCGTTCACAAAATGTGTACAAGAACATATCAGAGTCCCCAATCCCTTGATTAAAGCAGACATAACCAAATCCATATTTAAATAGCAATTCTTTAATTTATGTGGCCTTTTCCCTTTTTCGTCCAGTGAAAGTAGCATCCGGTAATCTTTTTGGGGTAATGTTTTCATCCATGCTAGTAATTTTTAACTAATACTTCATACATCTTTTAACATGGTAACAAAATAAAGGTAGCCTCCCACAATCCCCTAATAGCATTTTTACCTACACCAATGTATTGCCTACAATAAGATGTATGTACACTTTATAAATGTTGATATTGACCATATCCCCAGATTTCAAACCCATATGTAAGTACAGGTTGAATTAAGGTGTCAAAGATCTTAAAATACAAGTCTGCTTTAAAACATTGCATATTTCCTAAGTATCGTACGATTGCAATCAATTTCTTTTTGCCTTTTATAGCTACATTGTCTGTGGTAATATTAAAAGAGCATTTACATGACATTACCAATCCCAAGTATTCATATGAACTAACAGTACTAATTTGCTTGTCCTCGAAATACCACTTTTCATATTTACTGAGATATCCCCCATTTCTGTATACTACAATTTTAGTTTTATTTGTTTTACTTGTTTGTAAACTCATACAATAATGAAAACAACTCTAACATGTCGTTCGGGGTCAATTGTATTCCTCTATACCCATCCAACATGCTTTGTAGCTCATTAATGTAAAATGAGAATAAAATAGGGCTGATCATGCACCCTTGTCGAACCCATTTCTTCAATTCAAAGAATCTCGACATCTTTATAAATACTTTGTA